TTCTGTTTGTATTTCGCAGTAATTTGTTTTAAAGATAACGTACAGTAATTCAGGGCTTTGTTGATATTTCCTCAGACAACCTCAACACAACTTAATTAGCAATATTTGATATAGTGAAGTATTATCATTCATCAGCCAGATGTTTAGATTGAATTTGGCATTTTTATCCACCTATTGAGTCCTTCCCAAGAAGAGACAGATGTTTGGTGTTTTTAAAGATATCATTGTAGGATGTAAGCTGTTCCAAGTAGTGCAACTATCATAAATACATGCTAGGTGTCAAGCACCCAAATTGTGATTACAGGAACACTGTGACAGATGTTAAGTGTGAAAATGGTTTTAAGTCATTTTTTTGAGAGCCGTTGTAACTGGTTGCCAACGAATAGTAATAAATTGAGGATTACTTGTAACTGCATTCGTCTCTATTCCATTCCATTGCATTACTTTTAATTCTTCAGTGTCCATTTGAATGTTATATCCATCTTCTAGATTGATTGCCTACCTGACCTTATTTAGCTGTTTTCAAATTTGGTAAGGTACAATCCATTTTTTTGTCCAAGAGGTTCACAATTTTAAAGAGGAGGGAGCCCAAAACTGAAACTTGGTGGCCTATATTAGATCTATCACTTAGCTTGATGAGGGTGGATGAGTGCAGTTCTGGGTCAGGATCCACTGGGTTGCCCAGCCCATATTTGAATAGCTAATGAGAGAAATGTTTCCAGCCTGTGAAACAGACCTCTTTTCAGGCAACAGTGCTGATTTACTAGCAGCTTAACAGGTGCTAAGGAGCCGAGGATGAAGTAACCCAAGAAAATGACAATCAATGACTTAATAACTGGCCATCAACACCCCACTTAACAACTAAAAGCCACATGCAACCAGGCACCACATAAATACAATGAATAAAACAGCCCAGCACACACATTATGGAGAGAGAGGAGTTCCCTTAGGATGGATTCCAGCACGAGTCCAAAAGCTTAGAAGAATAAACCTCTGGTCCTGGTGATTGACTCAGACTGGATCCTGTGGCTAGCCAATCCTCAAGCACCATCTGATGTTTTAGAAAGCTTCTTCCATTGGCAGGATGATAAACAATGTTCTTTTGTCTTGCCAGGTACCAGGCAAAGAAAAGATACGAGAATCCGATGGATTTATTTCTAGAGCCGAAGTGGACAGTCTGGGATTACAGTGATATCACTGTGTTTCTGAAAAGCACCATGAAAAAATTGAGAGGTAAAAAACAGCCACTGAGATTTTACACTGAGTGACATTTTGATCCCAGAGCAACCTCCTAAGAGAGATTCTGGGCCAGTGTCATCTGGATCAAAGAGGAATCGATTTCAGGATCAGTGGAGGAGACACCTTCATTTCTCTGGGAAAAGGCCTTGTTTCTTGACACCATGGGGCCGAATAGGAGCTTTCTGGTCTCTCTCATTAAAGATGTGCTAGCTAAAAATGGGAACCATAGTTGACCATTTATTCTTTATTTCCCAAATCCATATACACTGATCAGTGGGGAAGCAGAACACACTTCCACTAAAAATAATGGAATATATACAGGTAGTTCTTGGCTTATGATTACAATTGAGCCCAATGTTTCTGTTGCAAAGCAAGGCAATTGTTAAGTGAGTTCTGCCCCATTTTTTGCCACAGTTGTTAAGAAAATCACTGCAGGCAAGTGAATCATGTGGTTGTTAAGCAAATCTGGCTTCCCCCATTGACTTTGCTTGTCAGACACTCCCTAGGAAGATTGCAGAGGACAATCCCAGAACCATGGGATGCTGCAACTATTGTGAAGACATGTTCATTGCCAAGTGCCCGAATTTTGATCACGTGACCATGGGGATGGTATAACTGGTCATAAGTCACTTTTGTCAATGCTGCTGTAACTTTGAATCGTCACTAAACGAATGGTTGTAAGTTGAGGATTACCTCTATATGGAATATATAGTAGAATATATCTGATATATGTATATATATGTGTGTGTTACCGGTTTGCCCGCCCCAATTGGCCGTATTGTTTCTAGCTGTCCCTCATCAGTCGGTGTGTCATGCCTCCGTCCGAGCCTGACTCTGAGGATGACATGGAGTTCCCTGTTGAGGCCCAGGAGGGGGTGTCTGTGGCTTCGGAGGACTGTGGGGAGGAGCAGGCTGAAGCAGGCCAGGGCCCTTCAAGTTTGGAACAGGGAAGGCAGAGTTCAGGCGAGGAGCAAGGCCCCTCCCCACCAGATCCCAGAGTAAGGAGAGCAGAGAGGAGGAGGGAACAACGGAGGCAGGCTCACTTGCTCGGGAGGAGAGCGTCACGCCCCACTTCACAAGGCACACCTGGGGAGTAGGATTTAAGGAGATGCTGTGGGGTGGGGCATTTGCAGGGAACAAATGTGAACTCTTGTGATAGTGTGCTCTTGTACCTGGACACTTTGTATTTTGGACCAAGTTTGCTTCCTGCTGATTTCTCCTTGCTGTCTGCGGCGTGCAGTTTGCAGTTCACAGGCAAGCTGGGAGTTGAAAGGATTATACGTTTGCTTGTTATCTGTTTTACTTTAAAGAACTGTATAAACTTCCCTGACTGTTTTATTGAACTTGTGTCAGCATTTGTGGGGGCTGTTAGGTGAACATTTGCAGTGCTTTCAAAGACAATTGTTCTGACCAGCTAATTGCTTTGCCTCCGTTCGGGGCCCTGGGTCATCACACCATGTGTTCTTAAACTCAGGGATCATTTCCTCCCTTATGGTTGCTCTCGTCTGCCTGGTTTGTGTCCAAGTGCCTGTTGCTATGGGTTGGTTCCCTAACGCTTCCTGTCCCATGGCCACCCCTCCTTTTGGCTGTGCCCTGCCCCCCTTCTTTAGTTCTTTCACAGGATGCACTGGGGATTCTTTCCTTTCGGCAGTTGTAGTTCTTTGTCGCATGGGCCAGCCGTTCTGATCCTGCAAGGCTGGCACTCGTTGCCTTCGTTGCAAGTTGTTATGTTGCTCCTCCCACTCCCTTAATGCCTGTTAAGCAGGCAGTAGGTCTATGTGGCGATTGATAGAGTGTCCATCGGATAGCCAGGCCTCCTTAAATAGTCAGCCACCCTTGGTGGTATCCTGGGCGATGGTCTCCGCCCCCGCAAGGTCAAACGTATGGTTGCAGTTGGCCATATGTGCCCATACTTGTGTATGTTGTTCCTGCCGTCTGATGGCCAGTTCATGCTCGTGAATCCTGGTCCTGAGCCGTTTGGTCGTCTCCCCAACATAATTGCAGTGGCAATTCTTGCATTTTATTCTATATACCACTGAGGATCTTTCTTCGTTGGGGAGAGGCTCTTTGGGGTGCATTACCTTAGCATGCAGGGTTTGGTCTGGTTTATGGACAATGCTAATATTATAAGGCAATGTTGTCCATGCCATAAGCGTGCCTATGTGCTGGCTCCCACGAGGCTCATACGGTCTGCTGTACACCAAATATATCAGGTCATCGTGAGGGCAAGCCAGTGCAAAGCTGAGGCACTCTGACGCAAAATGGAGATTCTGTGAGTGTCGGACAGCTGCAGCCACACCAATAAACTGGTTCACAATTTGTCATCTAAAGCCCTAACTTATGGGCAAACCAGATTGCTGCAGCGGGACATGGGCCACAACTTGACAGACGCATGGGCTATCGACTTTGTTGCGGCCCTGGAGCCGACCATTCAACGGATCGGGGCCAGTGACGAAATGACTGGGGGCAGGGGAGCAACCTTGGAAGCTACGGATGCATTGACAAGCACGGCCCCTTTAAGAACAGTACGGCTGGTACTAATGAGTGGACCAATGACCCGTTCAAGGGTTAGAGCGCAGAGGCAGCCAGTTATATAAACTAACTCCCGGATCCGGCTTTTTTACACTGACGATGTTGGTAGTTTGACCGATGAAAGCTTAGTACTTTTTGTAGATTAAACAGCTTTTGTTTAAGATTTTTATCCTGGTGTTCGGATACTTTTATTACTGCCACGATATGTGTATACCTGGGATTCTTGTTCTTAACGTTATTAAAGATGTATGTATGTATGTATGTATGTATGTATGTATGTGTATATGTGTGTATATATATGTGTGTGTGTGTGTATGTATATGTATGTGTATATGTGTGTATATATGTGTGTGTTTATATATATATATATATGGCTATATCTCTATCTATCTATCTATCTATCTATCTATCTATCTATCTATCTATCTATCTATCTATCTATCTCTATATATCTATATATAGATCTATATCTATCTGTCTGTCTGTCTGTCTGTCTGTCCGTCCGTCCGTCCGTCCGTCCGTCCGTCCGTCCGTCCGTCCGTCCGTCCGTCCGTCCATCCATCCATCCATCCATCTATCTATCTCTGTGGCCACCAATGACATTCTGGATTGTAGCTTTCCTTCTGTTATTCCAATTCCAGTGATAAGATGTTGAATTCTTCCATTTCCCCCCCCAGATACTCTGGAAACTGGGCTTCAACTACGGAAAGGTAAATATTAATTATAAGCAGCTCTATTCCTTGCTATTTTAAACACTGATGGCAGTAACTTTAAGAAAAACATAATATAGTAACAAAGAAAAAAGTATATGATTACATACCTTAAAGACTATGAAGGTCCTATAAATTATAATCTAGAAAATTGAAGTCAGCCTTCTAGACAAATGGGAAAATATGGGCTGTGACTGAAAGGAACGTAGAATCCTTTTGATTTTACTGCCCGACTATAAGTTGGTGAGAGACCAGGTCTTTGGGAGCACAGAAATTAGGTCCTTTGGGTCAAAGTAGGGTTTTGTCCACCTTATGGGCCATCAAAATGATGAAAGCAGAGGTTTCCTGTGCAAGAGCCTCCTCTTTTGTACATGCTTGTGACATCCTGATGCTCATAGAGCAGGGGTCTCCAGCCTCTTGGCCATGGCCCACTACTGGCCTGTGGGCCGTTTGGAACTGGGCCGTGCAAGTGGTGGGTGAGCGCATGCAGCTCCACTTGCCGAAGTGGTGAGTGCGTGCGCCCATTGCTTGCACAAATAGAGCTGTGCACATTTGCGCTTGTGCCTACCATTTGGACAGAACCATCCCCTCTCCCTCCCCCCACGGACCACCAAGCTGGAAAGGCTGGGGACCACTGTAGAAAGTTACCTCTGGGGACCCCTCTGACTGTGGCAGTTCAGAATTGAAATATGGCAGCCTTTTGCTGTGCCTGAACTTCTAGATTAAAGCTCCAGGTGGGATCCCTGTTCCCACCTTGTCCCTCCCAGGAACTCACTGAAGAGAAAACCTTCTTTGTCTTCATCCCAACCCCATTCTGCTACCCTGCAAGATGGAGGCTAAAGAAAATTGAGTAGGGATGCTAGAACGGGTGAAGGACAATGAAGGGATGGAAGGACTAGGCAATGCTTAGATGCCACTTAAAAAAGCAATGAATCTTCCAATCCTGAAGGGGGTGTTGGAAGCTGAACTCGTTTCAGAGAGGAGACTGTAGGGTTGATATCTTGGGGGGTCAAGACACAAACCAGGCCTGCAGCTGAAGCTCTTGTTCCTCTCCTTCCTTCCCTTTCCCCTTACAGTGAAAGTAATTCTGGATCCAGACACAGGCCATCCTGACCTCCTTGATTTCTCTGAAGATCAAAAAAGTGTCACACGAATTGATGAAACAACACATCCTGTTCCAAATCGCAAGAGACTTGAATATAATCCTTATGTCCTTGGCTGTCAGAGGTTCTCAACAGGGAGACATTTCTGGGAAGTTATTGTAGGAGATACAGCTGGATGGGGTATAGGGGTTGCCAGGAAGCCGGTGAACATAACAAGTGTTGATAAGCAGATCTTTCCCTGGCATTTTGGGAAATGGGGAAGGAAATACAGGATCTTCTCTCCATCAGAACGTTCTGAACTGGTCATGACCGAGAAGCCCACAAGGATCCGCATCTCTCTCAACTGCGAAGGGGGACAAGTGAGCTTTTTTGATGCCAGGACCGCAGCTCTGCTTTATACATTCTCAGACGCTTCCTTGGTTGGAGAGACCCTTCTGCCCTCTTTCTTTTTGCAGAAAAACGCCTCCCTGACCCTCCCCTAAAAGAGGGTCAAAAGACAAAACTTTGGAAAAAAATCCCTATTTGCCAAGTGGTGAAAGCCTTTAAAACAGACATTACTTAGCTTCTGGCTACTACACTTTCCTTCAGTGCTCTATGCCACATTCAGCTGCTTGTAGTTAAGTGGCCTTTTAAATCGAAGGAATGGGTCAATCAGTCAATTAATCTATAAAGGAATAACCTGACCATCATTTCTCTTTGTCTGGATAAAAAAAATGAGGTGTCCTAGGAGCTTTATAGGCTTTAGCATCATGTGTTCAGGTGTGTCAATATTAAAGATACTTTATAACTAAACCTACATGATTTTATGTGTGTCATAGCTCTCCATCCCATTTATAGATTGGGATTTATACAAGTGGATTACTGATTGTAAGACTGATTGTAATTTTATAGGTGTCTCATGGATTGTAGTTCCTTTGCAATTTTATGTCAATAAATTTATTTTTACCTTATCTTATTCTGCCAATATGAGATTTTATTTCTATTTTAGAGTGATGATATTAGTTTTATGCTGTTTGAAATCAAACAAATCTGATTATTCTGTGTAATACATAGAAACAAAAGACACACCGAAGACAGTAGACAAAAGCAAAACATACCATCTGTTATCAAGATAGGAGATGTGAGCTCTATGTGGAGTAAATGTGTCACCTGGCTCAAGCCAAAATTCAATAGAATTGTTAATAGAATTGTAAAAATGAAATACGTTATTAAATAAATACATTATTTGACAAGATGCTAAATAGCACTCTTTTTCCTTCTTGCTTCAAGCCACTCTGCCTTTCATTGAGTAGCTGTAAAAGAAGAAGCCAATCTAGTGTAGTGGTTAAGAAATCAAGCTAGAAGCCATGAGTTCTAATCCTGCCTTAGGCCCAAAGCCTGCTGGGTGACCTTGGACCAGTCACTCTCACTCAGCCCTAGGAAGCAGGCAATGGTAAGCCACTCCTGAATCCTTGCCAAGAAAAGTGCAGGGAGATTCCTCCAAGGCAGTCACCAGGGGTCAACAATCTGAGGCACCCCAAAAGTGGCTTCATTACTGAGATGAGAATCAGATCCAGTTTAGTCTAGTGGTTAAGGCGCCAGGTTATGAAGAGGAAGACTGTGAGTTCAAGTCCTGCCTTAGCCATGAAAGGCAACTGGGTGACTTTGAGCCAGTCCTTCTCTCTCAATCCAACCAACCTCAAGGGTTGTTGTTGGGGAAATTGGAGGAGGAAGATGTGTTGGATATGTTTGCCACCTTGACAAGATACAAACAAACAAACAAACAAACAAACAAGGGGAATGAAACCAAACTCTGATATGGTGACTTTGAATGCTAACAGCGGCTCTCTGGAACATCTCAAAGCATCTAAACAACTGAAGATTGACAAGCTGCTGTTGGCAATGGAGCAAGTAAATAATCCAAACAAATATACCTAATACAGGTAGTTCTCGACTTACAACCACAATTCAGCCCCAAATTTCTGCTGCCAAGTGAGACAGTTGTTAAGTGAGCGTTGCCCCATTTTAACTGTATCATGGGGGAAGAGGGAGAAGGGAATAGAGGTTTTGGCGGGAAAGAGGAGGAGAGCAGGGGATGGGGAGGGCGAGAGGAATGGGTGAGTCTCTTTGGGGGCAGAGAAGGGAGAGAAGGGAAATGGGGCTCACCTGGCTCACCTGGCCTCCACCCCACAGAGTGATAGGGGGAAGCGATGCATGCGGATAGGTTGAGGAAAGGGGGAGAAAGGAGTATGAGGGAAAGTGGAGAAAGGTGGGGAAAAGTCTGTGTGGAAAGGTTGAGAAAAGAGGAGAAGGAAGGGGAAAGAGAGTGAGAGAAAGGGAGGCAGGCAGGTGAATCAATCAAGGAGCAGAGGCAATGGCAGGAAAGACCAGCAAGCAGCAGGAGAGAGAGAGGACAGAGAGGAAGAAGGGCTGACTGGCTATCTGACCACCCCACCAATGTGTGACCCACTTGTGGGAGGAGGCTGCCCAAGGGACCAGTTGGAAGGACTAGACCGCATAGTCTAGCCGACCCGGGCAAGTGGAGGTGTCTGAATGAGGGAACAGAGTGGACTGGCAGTCACAACCATGGACTGTAGCAGGGGAAGGCACCTGGATGGTTGGAAAAGAGGGCCAGGGGAATCTGGACCCCAGCAACCCTTTGTGGGGTAGTGCTCCATGACGATCTTTCTTGTCACAGTTGTTATGTGAATCACAGCAGTGATTTGTTAAATGAATCCGGCTTCCCCATTGTCTTTGTTTGTTATAGGGTCACAAAAGGTGATCACATGACCCAGGGACACTGCAACCGTCATTGTGCTGGATCAATATAACCCTGACCAGAGCATAGATCTGTATGTTAGAATGTTGAGCAATGTCTCCTTAAGAGATGGCTTATGGGTAATGTAGTTTAGCTATTCAGTGAATCCCATATTAACAAGTCAGTAGGAGGGGCTACTAAGTTCATCACAGGATATCCTGGCTACGTGCCAGTTTGGAGTCACGTTTCAGTAGTTTCATCTGGATGTTGCATATTTGTTCATCTTTATAGGTAAAATCATTAATTCCTTCACATCAACTTCTAGCGTGAACTAAGACCGTGTCTGTCCTCCTGTGTTCCCATGCTTATCTAGACAAAGACATTCCAAACTGGCATATAGCCAGGATATCCTGTGATGAACTTAGTAGCCCCTTCTACTGACCTGTTAATATGGGATTCACTGAATAGCTAAACTACATTACCCATAAGCCATCTCTTAAGGAGACAGCGCTTAACCCTATAAATGCTCAACATTCTAACATACAGATCTATGTTCTGGTCAGGGTTATATTGATCCAGCACAGTCATAAATATGAACCAATTGCCAAGTGACTGAATTTTGATCAAGTAATCAAGGAGGGGGGTGCTGCAATGGTCGTAAGTGTGAAAATCTCTCATAAGACACTTTTAATGTCTATATACATTAAAAATGACAAATGTTAAAATGCTGATTTCTTTGACTTCGCAGACGCCAAAATGAGAGTCACTAATCTAGCCCAACAGGCCCTCAAAGGGATGGGGATTACAGCAAGGGTGTCCCAAGGCAGGTCAACAAAGTCAAGATGACAGCCAGTCCCGCCTTCTATCCATATGTAAATAAGGTGTGGAGCTTCCATCCCATAGGCCTTTGTTGACTCCCTCTAGGGTTGTTCCTGTTTTGGAGCATCTCCCCCCTTCTGGGGTGAAGGGCCTTTGAAAGAGGGGTTTGTGAGAATCCATGGGGAGATGGGATTGGCTAGCAATGGGAAGGATCCTCCCCTTTTTGTAGGGGGAGGAGGGAAGGAGGAAAAGTTTATTTTATTTATAGCTACAGGTACAAGAATGCTAATTATCATCAGATAAACGAAGAGAAAGAAGAGGAAATAAAAATAAACTACCATGGTAAATTCAAACATAGTGCTTTTGAATGGTGATCACAACTGAACAGAATTTAACTCCTTTTATGTAGATTGTGATGAATTGATCGGCTTAAAAAAATATCCTATATTCAGCCCAGCCTGAATACTCACGTTTGATATGCAGGTTCTGAGGTTTTGCTGGTTAAAGAAATACAGGAAACCTGAAGGTGCCTTTACATTTTACGTGTTTATTCAGCTGAATAGAGACGGACCCCTCTAAATGAGAGGAGCAACGAATGACAAGAAATCCTTGTATTTATTCTGTATAATTACATAAGCAGCCCATCCAGCAAAGCTGACATACATAAGATAAAGATTGCACCCAGTAAGTCTGGCACACTGTATATAGATAAGAAAGGAGAAAGCAGAAGTAGCTAAACATGTTCCCATTTGGGTGTTCCCTAAAGGTATCGCATGTTCTTGGGTGGGTTAGGACATTGGGTGTTGTCCTTGCTATGCTTTCCTGACCCTGCATCCAGAACTCTGCAAGTGACCAAAGAGAGAGGGGCCATCTGTATGTATTCACAATTGATACTGTCCCCTAATTCCTGGTCATCAAGTTAGGAACAGAATTATTAGTTCAGAGTCAATTAGTGTAAAAAAGGATACTACAGCAAAGATATTATTTTCAGTTATTTTACTAGCTAGAATAGGGAGTTAAAAAAATTAGATAATGGGATATCATTATACAGTATGTCCCTTTAACACGCTAGAGCCAGTGTTTCTCAACCTTGACAATTTTAAGGCATGTGGACTTCAACTCCCAGAATTCCACAGCCAGCAATGCTGGCTGTGGAATTCTGGGAGTTGAAGTCCACATGCCTTAAAATTGTCAAGGTTGAGAAACACTGCGCTAGACAAAAAAATGTTAAACCTTTGTAGGTTGAAGATTTTCTTGCAACAGAAACATGGGATATTAAAGAGAGATTTAGAGGTGAATGTTCTGTAAATTAGGCCTAGTTTAGTAGTACTACAGTAGTCACAGTCACATTAGTGGTTCCTTCCTTCCTTCCTTCCTTCCTTCCTTCCTTCCTTCCTTCCTTCCTTCCTTCCTTCCTTCCTTCCTTCCTTCCTACCTACCTACCTACCTACCTACCTACCTACCCAGAAAGGTCTTCATCTGGTGCCAAAATGATGCCACCATGAGTGCCAATTGAGGGTCTCTGGGAAGGCCATTCCAATAGGGGGTCCCACTATTGAGAAGGCAAAATAAAGGAGGGGGCTTGGGAGTATCAATGTCCCCTTGGGGACCCATTGTGACTAAGGGAGCCTTTCCAAAAAGCCCTTGAACAAAGGGCCTATAAGATGTTCTCCACCCACCAGATCTCTCCCCCCCCCCCATGGGTCCATCTGGCCTGAGACTATTACAGTAATTATTCTTTCTAGCCATCTTTTGCTTTAAGGGACCTCATTGGTCTAACTTGAAGATTTCCATCCAGCAAATGATTTCATTTTACATTCTACATATTCCATATTATGCAAGGTAGTCTTCTGTGTCTCCCTTCCACGAAGTGACCCAGGCTGTCTCCTCACGTTGACTTTTGCCCGGTTTTAGAGCTTTTCCCGATCCATTTCCTAATTGGCTGGCTGGGAAGGGGGCAATCCAGGCAGGTCTTCCTCTGCCAGATATTCATATTAGAAGTTAGAGAAAGGATGATAATTTCTACATTCTCCTTTATCTCTGAGACATCCTATCAATTGCAGCATAGGATTGGGGATTTTATTAAGGGTTTCTCCCAGTCTCTTTCATGCAAACTTTACTCTATCCTGTCCCATAAATGTTTCCTTCTTCCCAGTTTTTTAAAAGGATTTTCCCCTTTAACAAGCTGGTTGGATCAATAATAATTGATCGTGAATCCGTCCCAGGGATGTTTCTTTCCCCTCAGGATTTTTCAATATCTTTCCCTTTAGCACATAGGTGGGGAATAGATAGCCCTTGTATGACTGGCTCAGGAATTCTGTGAGTTGAAGTCCACAAGTCATAAAAGAGCCATGGTTCCCCACCTCTGCTTTATCAGGATGCTAGGACCATTAAGTGATTGGGGGGGGGACGTCCCAAGAAAGTTTGCTTCTTCCCAGTTCTTTAAACTTCCTCCCTCTTTTGACAGGATAATAGGATCAATTGTAATTGATAGGGGGTTGGTTCCATGGATGTTTCTTTCCCCCCAGTTTTTTCAGTATCTTTCTCTTCAGCAGGATACTTGGATCAGTAATTGATGGGGGGGGGGGGGTCCGTCCAAGAACATTTGCTTTTCCCCAGTTTTTAAAAACTCCCCCCCCCCCTCTCGAGGAAATGATTGGGCCAAAAATAATTGATCGGGAGTCCGTTCCGTGAATTTTGCTTCTCTCCAATTTGTTCTTTTTAAAATACTCTCTTTTTCCTTTAAGAACTCAGCGAAGCTGACCGCATGAGCAACAATCATTCATGTCGGTTTAAAGGCGGGAAACTTAACTTTCTTATTCCTTCTCTCGGCGGAGGAGGCGGCGATGGCAGCCGCAGCGTCCTTGCAGTATTTCCTGGAAGAAGCCACCTGCTCCATCTGCCTGGAGTATTTCCAGGACCCCGTGCTCATCCCGGAGTGCGGCCACAACTTCTGCCGGGGCTGCCTGACCCGCAGTTGGGGGTCGTCGGAATGGAACGCTTCCTGTCCCCAGTGCAGACAGACCTTCAAGCCCCGCAATATCCTCGCCAACAATCAGCTGGCGCGGCTGGTGGGAGAGGCCAGGAGATGCGGAGGCCCTTGGAGCGAGGACGGAGGGAGCTTCTGCCCGAAGCACCGGGAGCCCCTCAAGCTCTTTTGTAAGCACCACGAGACCCTCATCTGCGTGGTCTGCGACCGATCCAAAGAGCACAGGGGTCACTGGGTAATCCCTGCGGAGGAGGCTTTCCAGGAGTACCAGGTAGGAATCAGCCAGGAGGAATCCCTGCGGAGGGCCATCCAGTGTTAGCACTGGCAATCCTTGGACCCATTTACTTGCTTCCTGTTGTCTGCAAACCGGGTTTAGCCTGGCGCAGATGCCAATCAGAACCAGGCAGGAGTTCAAGGAACTTTTATTGAAGTATTTCAGCGAAAGTGTCTCAGCAGTGAAAGGAGCCAAGACCCCCCCACCCCCGAACTATATACACATACAAATTTTATACAGTTAAGATTAAGGAAGTTAACACCCTAAGAATCACTCATTGGTACCTTGACATGTTTTTTTTTTATTTCTTGTCCTGCCCTACTTTACCCTCCTTCTTCATACATTGCATATTTATGCCAATAAGCTTTCTTATTCAAAAGGAGTGTATGTTTTATTATACTAAGCTAGAAGTTATCAAAGTTTATGTCTATGTGCCTTAGCTAGCATCCTTCTAATAGTCCTAACATCATCATCATCATCATCATCATCATCATCATCATCATAATAATAATAATAATAATAATAATAATAATAATAATAATAATAATAATAATAATAATAATAAGAAGAAGAAGAAGAAGAAGAAGAAGAAGTAGTAGTAGTAGTAGTAGTAGTAGTAGTAGTTGGAAGGGACCTTGGAGGTCATCTAGTCCAATCCCCTGCTCAAGCAGGAAACCCTATACCATTTTGAACAAATGGCTGTCCAGTCTCTTCTTAAAAACTTCCAGTGTTGGAGCATTCACCGCTTCTGGAGGCAGGATTTTCCACTGATTAATTGTTCTCAGCGTCAGGAAGTTTCTCCTTAGTTGTAGGTTGCTTCTCTCCTTGATTAGTTTCCATCCGTTGCTTCTTGTCCTGCCTTCAGGCGCTTTGGAGAATAGCTTTCTCCTAACTTTCTTGTTGCTAGGCAATAGTGTCCCACCATTCGTTATTGGTCGTATTAAACTTATCTGCAACTTTCTCCCTCAGCAATTCCTTTAACAAACTTCCCAAAGTCCAACCTGAGACCTTCACCTCCTGCTTTGTCCTGCGTGCATGCAGTTTTTTGTAGACAGATTTACCATAGTCCTTGACTTGCAACCATTCATTTAGTGACTGTTCAAAGTTACAACAGCATTTAAAAAAAAACGACTTATGAACATTTTTCACACTTATGACCATTGTAGCATCCCTGTGGTCAGTGATCAAAATTCAGATGCTTGGCAACTGGCATGTATTTATGATGGTTGCAGTGTCCCAGGGTCAGGTGATCCGCTTTTGAGACCTTCTGACAAGCAAAGTCAATGGGGAAGCCAGATTCGCTTTACAACCATGTTACTAAGTTAACAACTTCAGTGATTCACTTAACCACTGTGGCAAGAAAGGTTGTAAAATGGGACAAAACTTCACTTAACTGTCTTGCTTACCAACGGAAATGCCTGTAGGGAGAAATAGGCACTCTTTGCCAGCTCACTTTTTTCTAAGGAAAGATAAGGAAGATCTAACCTAAATCTCAGCAAGAGAATTAACTGGCTGCAGTTTGGAGATCAGGTGGAGAAGGAAACCCTAGTAGATTTTCTTTCCAACGAAACTTTTTTACCTTTGCTATAGAGCAAGATCATCATAGAGTCCTCCAAAGTCTTGAGTGCAGAGCCCTAAAAACACTCCTGGTGGGTCAGGCCACTTCAGCCCAAGATTTTGTTTCTCAGTGATGCTTCTCAGGTGACTCTGAGCAGGAGACTCAGGCAGCTCACTTTCCTGCCATTACAGATAGTCCTTGACTTAGAACAATTTGTTTAGTGACTGTTGGAAATTACGACAGCAATGGAAAAAGTGGCTTCCAGCTGTTTTTCACACTTATGATCATTGCAGCATCCCTGTGGTTATATGATCAAAATTAGGACGCTTGGCAACTGACATGTATTTATGACGGTGGCATATATCTTTTTTACTAGGTCTTCCCTCAGATTTAATTCTTTACGGAAAAGAAACTCAAAACTTGTATTTTCTCTTCAGATTAAGGTTGGGGATTGCCTGAAAGCTCAGAAAAAGGAGAAAGAAAAAATAGCTACCTACAAAACAGTCACAGAGCAAACAGTGTGGGAGATGCTTGTAAGTATTGATCCAACGTTGAGACGCTTTTAAGCTAATGGAAAGGAGAACACATCCGCCATCTTTAATAATAGGCAGCCTGTTTGTAAGTACAGTACAGTACAAGTTCTGACTTGTTAAACTTAAAGACAGTGTTAGGGCACAGACCTTGTTCTTAACCTGGGGACTGTATCTTTGACTGGGATGTCACCATTGGCTGAATGACTCACAATTGGGTTAAGTGCACGTATCTCATTAACCATTTTTTATACAATGGGTTTGCTTTGCTTAATAGATTAACGCAGACCATATTTCATCTTATTGAAAAAAATGTGAACTTAAACATTTTTCTCTCTACTTTTTTGAAATCCCTGATTGCCAAGGAAATTTTCATCATTTAAACTGGAGCCTTTTTGTGGTTTCTAGAAACCTTTCCCCCTGTGCTTGTTGGTGTCAAAGGGGTTTCTTTTTTTTTTGTCCCTAAGAAATTCTCCCATCTCATTACTGGACACTTCCGGGAATCCATCTAATTATTATAATAATAAAAATAATTAAATAAAAATAATAAAAATAAAATAAAAATATGCCTTTTTCTCTTTCTGTCTTCTTGTTCTAGCATCTCATAGAAAAAGAGAAAAAAAAAGTAGTGGCTGAATTCAGAGAGCTACAACTCTGGCTAAAAGGACAGGAGAAGCTTATGTTGGCCAGAATGGAAAAGACGGAGGAGGAGATTATGGCAAGAAAAAAGAAGGGTTTGTTCAAGCACATCAGGGAACTGTGCTATCTTGACAATCTCATCCAGGAGATAGAAGAGAAGCATCAGCAGCCAGCCAGCAAACTCTTACAGGTCAGGCAGGAAGTTGAGATCATAGAATCACAGGGCTGGAAGGGACCTTGGAGGTGTTTTAGTCCAATCCTCTGCACAAGGAAGGAGTCCTTATACCAGGGGTAGGCAACCTTGGCTCTTTTATGACTCGTGGACTTCAACTCCCAGAATTCCTGAGCCAGCCATGCTGAGGGGAAAGGGAGAGGTTTCCAAGCTGAGCCATGCTGGCTCAGGAATTCTGGGAGTTGAAGTCCATGAGTCATAAAAGAGCCAAGGTTGCCTACCCCTGCCTTTTACCATCCTGAAGAAATGATTGTCCAAACTATTATTGGAAGCCTCCAGTGATGGAACAACCAGAACTCAGGGAGGTAGGCTGTTCCATTGATTAATTGTTCTCACTGTCCCTATGACAGCTCTTCAAGTAGTAATAATAATAATAATAATAATAATAATAATAATAATAATAATAATAATAATAATAATGATGATGATGATGATGATGATGATGATGATGATGATGATGATGATGATGATGATGATGATGATGATGATGATGATGATGATGATGATGATGATGTTGGAAGGGACCTTGGAGGTCATCTAGTGCAACCCCCTGCTCAGGCAGGAAACCCTATACCATTTCAGACAAATGGCCATTTATTTTATGGTTTAGCCTTCAGAGCCCTTATCATCTTTATTGCTCCTCTCTGCATTCTTTCTAAGGCCTCAGCATCTTTTTTGTATCACGGTTTTTGGAGTGGTTTATAGAGTTTTGTATCAATGATGAAATGGAATAGGCTGCTTTAGGTCTAGCACAGAATCCTCTTTTTGACTCCTTCCTTTTTTTTTGTTTTTCAACAATTTTATTGAAATTATAATAGGGAAAAGTACAAATGAAAATAAAATAGGGAAATGGAGGAGGAAAAGAAGGAAAGAAATGTAGGATAAAGGGGAAAGAAAAAAGAATTGACTTCCTACTTTTTTCAGCACAGTAAAAAACAAAATAAAATTACAGCCTCAGCTTTTTACTTTTACATATTTAGTAATTATTAGCCATATCTATAAAAACAAATTAATAAGCAAAATCAAGCGTCAACAGTACCTTTTTTTTTCTATTTCGAGCACAAAGTCCAGAAGCAGTTTCCAAGTAGAAACAAAGGTTGATATCTAATTAATAGCCAACACTCCAGAAAACAGGCTTAGGATACAGGAGGATCTGGACAGACTTGAATACTGGGCGCTATCTAACAAAATTCAATGGTGAAAAAAGTAAGGTTCTACATTTAGGAAAGAAAAACCAAATGTACAGGTATAGTATAGGGGGTACCTTGCTCAATAGTAGTAACTGTGAGAGGGATCTCGGAGTCCTAGTGGACACTCACTTAAATATGAGCCAGCAGTGTGCTGCAGCTGCCAAAAAAGCCAACACAGTGCTAGGCTGCATTAACAGAGGGATAAAATCAAGATCACGTGAAGTATTAATACCACTTTACAATGCCTTGGTAAGGCCACACTTGGAATACTGCATCCAGTTTTGGTCACCACGATGTAAAAAAGATGTTGAGACTCTAGAAAGAGTACAGAGAAGAGTAACAAAGATGATTAGGAGACTGGAGGCTAAAACATATAAGGAACGGTTGCTGGAATTGGGTATGTCTCTAGTTTAATGAAGAGAAGGACTAGTGGGAGCATGATAGCAGTGTTCCAATATCTTATGGGCTGCGCCTGAAGGCAGGACAAGAAGCAACGGATGGAAACTAACCAAGGAGAGAAGCAACCTAGAACTAAGGAGAAACTTCCTGACAGTTAGAACAATTAACCAGTGGAACAACCTGCCTCCAGAAGCGGTGAATGCTCCAAAACTGGAAGTTTTTAAGAAGAGACTGGACAGCCATTTGTCTGAAATGGTGTAGGGTTTCCTGCCTGAGCAGGGGGTTGGACTAGATGACCTCCAAGGTCCCTTCCAACATCATCATCATCATCATCATCATCATCATCATCATCATCATCATCATCATCATCATCATCATCATCATTATTATTATTATTATTATTATTATTATTATTATTATTATTATTATTATGTCAATTTTGTCATTTTTTCTAGCTCCATAACTTTTATACATTCTTCTGTTGTGGAGATTGATATATCTTTTCATTTCTGTGCATGTAGGATTTTGGCTGCACTTGACATGCACCATAACAAAGTTCAAAATCTTTTTTCAACTCCTTATTTTGTAATCTTTTTGACTCTTTCTATGGAAAGGAAATTGGAAGGTATCAAGAGTACAGGTAGTTCTCAACTTATGACCACAATTGAGCTCGAAATTTCTATTGCTGTGAAACAGTTGTTAAGTGAATTTTGCCCCATTTTATGACCTTGTCACTGTTGTTAAGTGAATCACTGCAGTTGTTAAGTTAGTAATACAGTTGTTAAGTGAATCTGGCTTCCCCATTGCTTGTCATGACTCCTGAGACACTGCAACTGTCATAAATATGAATCAGTTGCCAAGTGGCTGAATTTTGATCATGTGACCATGGGGATGCTGCAACAGTCTTAAATGTGGAAAATGGTTGTAAGTCAGTTTTTCCAGTGCTGTTGTAGCTTTGAATGGTCACTAAATGAACTGTTGAAAAGGACTACCTGTAATGGTTAATATTAGGGATACATAATGTAATTTGGAAAAAGCAGGCCATGCGATAAGCATGAATTCAAAATGCTGGTCACTGTCCCTATATTCTTCACAATTTGAAGAATGCCTCCTTTCAGTGCTTTGTCTCTTTTTTTAGGACATTGGAAGCATCTTGAAGAAGTAAGTGAATCCACCCTTGTTCTGGATCATAAATCCATTTAGCCTTGTATAGCTCTATGTATCTTGTATCCCTATGTAACAGGGCAAGGGGAGGGAGCAAGGGTCAGGGGGCGGAGCTTCAAAGGCATCCCTGGACGCTAGCCTGAGGGCAGTCCTTTGTTCTTTGACCATCTCATGCAGCCACACGGCTGCAGACACCATAATCACCCCACCATGTGACGCTTGGGAGAAGAGGGGAAAATCTAATGTCAATTTACCTGTGGGACAAGCAGATTGCTGAATCAACTATTTTGGAAGCACCTCTGCAAACTGTAAGTTTGTCTAGGATCCCCAGAATAAAGCAATTATCCTTTGTTTGTTCTTCTGAGTTATCTATCTGTTAAAGACTGGAATATAGAAGCAACTTTCCTGTCTAGAAACAGAATAGTAAATTGACATTAGATTTTCCCCTCTTCTCCCAAGCATCACATGGTAGAAACAGAATAACCCTCCTCTTTACAGTCTCAGAGATCGGCAGCTCTTCCAGCAGTTTTCCTATTTTGGAAAGTTCTGTTTGTATTTAGCAGTAATTTCATTTAAAGACAATGTATTGTATTTCAGGGCTTTGTAGATATTTCTTCAGACAACCTCAACACAACATAATTGGCAATATTTGATATAGTGAAGTATTAATCATCCATCAGCCAGATGTTTAGATTGAATTTGGCATTTTTATCCACCTATTGAGTCCTTCCCAAGAAGAGACAGATGTTTGGTGTTTTTAAAGATATCATTGTAGGATGTAAGCTGTTCCAAATAATGCAACTATCATAAGTACATGCCAGCTGCCAAGCACCCAAATTGGGATTACAAGGACATTGTGATAGACGTTAAGTGCGAAAATGATTGTAGGTCACTTTTTTGAGAGCTGTTGTAATTGGTTGCTAACAAACAGTCATAAATTGAGGGTTATTTGTAACTGCATTCGTCTCTGTTAAATTTCATTGCATTACTTTTAATCCATCAAGATCAGTTTGAATCTTATACCTATCTTCTAGATCAGATGTCAAACACAAGGCCCGGGGGCCAGATGCGGCCCGCGAACTGGTTTCATGTGGCGCGCGAAGCCATCCTGGAAACAGTGAGGGAACGGCCCCCGCTGCCTTGGCCCTGGCCCAGGCCAGCCGGGAGCCAATGTACAATTTTGTGGTGGCCATCTTGGCACTTGCCCTGGTGGACCAAGCCTTGGCACTTTCCCCGGTCCCACCCCCTTCTGCCAGAGACCCTCAGATCTGTCCCACTCCTGCCCAGGCCTCCATAGGCACCCTTGACGCGAACGATGTAGAGCTGGCCACGCCCACCCAGTAGGCCACACCCACTCCATCCACGCCCACCCAGTAGGCTGCACCCACTCTGGCCACACCTACCCGCCCCCCCAGGGCAATCGCAACGCTGATGCGGCCCTCAGTGAAATTGAGTTTGACACCCCTGTTCTAGATTGATTACCTACCTCAACCTATTTGGCCATTTTCAAATTTTGTAAATTATAATCCATCTTCTTGTCCAAGGGATTCACAAAAATGTTAAAGAGTAGGGGTCCCAGAACGGAAACTTGGTGGTCTCTTTAGATCTCTCACTTAGCTTGATGAGGGTGGATGAGTGCAAATCCGGATCAGGATCCACATAAATACAAGTGCAGAACAGCCCAGCATACAGATTGTGGAAACAGAGCAGTTCCCTGAGGATGGGCTCCAGTATGAGTCGAAAAAGCTTGGAAGAATAAATCTCTCTTGTCCCAGTGACCGACTCAGACTGGATCCTGTAGCTAGCCAATCCTCAAGGACCATCTGATGTTTTAGAAAGCTTCCTCTATTGGCAGGATGATAAACAATGTTCTTTTGTCTTGCCAGATATCAGGCAAAGAAAAGCTATGAGAATCCGGTGAATTTACTTCTAGAGCTGAAGTGGACAATCTGGGATGACAGTGACATCACTGTGTTTCTGAAAAGCGCCCTGAAAAATTTGAGAGGTAAAAAACAGCCTTCAGGGTTTTCTGCTGGATGACATTTTGATCCCAGAGAATCCAAGAGAGATTCTGGGTCAGTGTCACATGGATCAAAGAGGGATCGATCTCAGGATCAGTGGAGGAGACACCTTCATTACTCTGCGGAAAGGCCTTGTGTCTTGGCACCAGGAGGCGGAACAGGAGCTTTCTGGTTTCTCTCATTAAAGATGTGCTTGCTAAAAATGGGAACCATTAGCTAGTCATTGTTGACCATTTACAGGTAGTCCTCGACTTACAATGGTTCATTTGGTGACCATTTGAAGTTACAAAGTGACTTATGACCATTTTTCAGCATCCCTATGGTCATATGATTTACATTCAGATGCTTGACAACTGGTTTATATTTCTGATGATTGCAGTGTCCCAGGGACATGTGGTCATCTTTTGCGACCTTCTGACAAGCAAAGTCAATGGGGAAGCCAGATTCACTTAACAAAGTGAATCTACCAAATACCTCCCTTCGACCAGTCCGCTCCCACAGAGAAGGCCTCCTTAGGGTGCCGTCGGCCAGTCAATGCCGGCTGGCGACCCCCAGGGGGAGAGCCTTCTCTGTGGCAGCTCCTGCCCTCTGGAATGACCTACCCCCCGACCTACGTACAACTGCGGACCTGCGCCTCTTTTGCCGAGCCCTGAAAACCCATCTATTCCATGCGGCCGGCCTGGCGTAGTTTTAATTATGTTTTAGTAAAGGTTTTTATATGGGGTATTTTAGAGCAGGCTTTTATTTAATATTTATTGTGATTTTTATTATCGCCTGTTCACCGCCCTGAGTCCCGTAAGGGAGATAGGGCGATATATAAATTTAAATAATAAATAAATAAATAAATAAACCATGTTAATAACTGCAATGATTCACTTAATTGTGACAAGAAAGGTTGTAAAATGAGGCAGAATTCACTTAACTGTCTCACTTAGCAACATAGATTTTGCCCTCAATTGTGGTCATAAGTCAAGGACTATCTGTATACTGAAAGTGGCTCTCCTATATAGACAAAGTGGGAATATTTATATTGTATTTATTAACATCAACTTTCCATTTTCATCTGGAAAATATAAAGTTCCACTCTGCAAAATATTTAGCAGGCAATACTATTATGCATCAACCATGGGTTTCGCCCCACATCCTCCTTTTGGCATACTTATTTTTGTGAGGATGGGGTGGGCTGAGCTAGAGCACAATAAGACACACTCACTGTAGGAGGAGATATCAATCTCATCAGGCAGTTCACTGATGTTCACTTCGAAGCGGTCCTGCACTTCATTTAGGATCTTAGCATCATTCTCATCTGACACGAAAGTGATCGCCAGGCCCTTTGTGCCAAAGCGACCAGCACGAGCCACCTGGAATCCAGAAATGGGAAGATGGGCCTGGACTTTTGCACAGGAACCTCCAAATAGGATTTCAAACCTATTGAACAGTAGAGGACTAAAAACAAAGTGGTTTCAACCAAGGGCACTTACTCAGTCCTCAATGAGGACTGCCTATATTTACTTCCCAAATCCATATGCACTGATCACTGGGGAAGCAGAAAAAGTTTCCACTAAATATAATGGAATATATACAGGTAGTCCTTGACTTACGACCACAGTTGAGCCCAAAATTTCTGCTGCTAAGTAAAGCAGTTTTTAAGTGAATTGTGCCCCATTTTATGAACTTTTTTGGGGGGCACAGTTAAATAGATCATGTGGTTGTTAAGCGAATCTGGTTTCCTGCATTGACTTTGCTTATCAGATGCTCCCTAGGAAGATGCAGAGGACAATCCCAAAATCCTGAGATGCTGCAGTCATCATAAATACATGCTGGTTGCCACGTACTCAAATTTTTATCACATGACTGGGGATGTTGCAACAGTCTTAAGTGTGAGAACCGGTCATAAATCCCTTTTTTCAGTGCCACTGTAACTGAGTGGTCACTAAATTAATGGTTATAAGTTGAGGACTACCTGTATATGGAATATGTAGTAGAATATATTTATATCTGGTGGAATATATACAGCTACCAATGATATTCTGGCTGGTAGTTTTCCTTATTCCTTATTTCTGATTTGAGTCCGAGGAAAGCAAACCAGGGTGTCTGTAGGGAGGCCCTTCTGTTGCTCCAGTTCCAGTGTTGAGATGCTGAATCCCTCCCTTTTCTTCCCCAGATACTCTGGAAAGTGGACTTCAACTCCAGGAAGGTAAATATGAGTTATTAAGAATCTCATATATCCCTTGCTATTTTAAGCTCTGATGTCAGTAACTTTAGGAG